CATGTAATAAGTAGACGACCCCGTAGCAATCCTAACTTCTGCCCTCAGGGTAGCTGCAATTGGACGTAGTGCAGCCGCAATATGAATACGATTGCACATTAAAATGCTCTCAAAATTACTTGGGGGTATGTCCACAGTCGTGGTTGTATTTGGAATGCGATGTTTTCAGATGGCACTGGAGCTTACGCGTAAGAGGGTTGGCGATGGGGCAAAGGTCAGTCACCCTTGCAATAGCTTTCATGGCCAAGAGCGAAGCGCCAATTTGAGAATGCCGTCCATTACTATATTGCAGATACATTAACGATTGTCCCATAATCCGCTCAACTCAAGCAGAAAAGTTGGAAATTGCTTTAAAATGCTTAACGAACAATCTACATACATTGAGCTTACCAAAGAAAGCCATGAATGGTTGCCATTGAATGTGCAGATCAATATATCCTCAGGCGCGCACGTCACAAAATGGCATCGCAAGCCAAGTGATAAAAATATTCTTGTCCACTTTAGGTCAGCTCATCCGCGTCAAACAAAGAGAGCAATCATTCAAAAATTGTTCCGTACAGCCCTTCGTGTCTGTAATGGACAACAAGAAAGCGGAATCACCTGCGCTGCGCGGAAAATCGCTGCATATGGATATGAAAATCGTGCCACAGCGAGGAACGGTGAAATCGCCGTGCTTAGGTGGATAAAACGAAAGAAGCTGAAAAGATTTTGCAATTTAATGAACACTGCATTCGGACAGTGTCTGAGGATGTGCGGGCGTACAGTTACGATTGTGGAGATACCCCCAAACAGTCTTGAGAGCATTTTAATGCGCAATCGTATCTATAATCGCGGCTGCACTACGCACAATTGCATCTGCCCTGGGGTTATGGGCCGGGATTGCATGGCGACGGGATCTATCCACCTGCGCGAGCTGGATGACAAGTACATAAGCCAGACAGCGCGGCCGCTACATGTTCGCATAAGAAAGCCCTTAGACAGCGAAGATAGATCACGAACCTTTACCCATAGGTACTCACAGGGCTTCAAAACACGCGGAGACCCACGTCGAAGTCATAGAAAAAATCTTAGCGCATGAATCACAGACAACACCTTTAGATGTTTGAAGGCATCTTGGATTTAAGCCAAAAGCCCTAAAATGATTCGTAAGGAAAAATGCCTCCATCACACTTGAGCTCGCTTCCTATTTGGAGATCTTCTAATCCGGCAGAGACCTTATAAATAGCTGTGGCATATCGTTTAGTCATTCAACGCTCGCTCTGGCGTTACTCTATCGGCGTTTTCAAAAAGTGAGTGTTTGGTTAGGCAGCTAATTACTAATCTATTGAAGCCTTAGAGTTTTGTTGACATGGCTGCAAAGACGTTTGAGCTATTAGTTTGCAAGTCGTACCATCGTCAATAAACTTTTAACAGTCTCAGGTCAACAAGGCTCAAAACCACAATTACGATATCAACACCATATCCAGATTCATAAAGAGTCGCACGTTCCATCTACTAAAAAGTATATATTTATAAGAAGATTATAAAACAAAATGAATTGGAAATTTCAATTTATGCGAAGGACTTTGCAGTTCCCCCTTGTCCTCAGGTCGACTTGGGCACTTTTTCGACCTTTTCACTTTTAAGCGTCAAAAACAGCCGCAATCCCTTCCTTTGTGTCATCTCAGACTGTCGCATCTAAGCGTTTGAAGGTGTGAATTAGCTGTGGTCATGATAAACAATGCCTTCACAAGTGTGAGTTGGAGAGTGTTGAGTGCACTGACTACAATGATACATGCTCAAGAAGGATAACTACATGCTTTGAGTTTTTCTTTAACTCGACCCCATAAACTCATGCTACCGAATGGCTTGCTAGGACTTCTGACGCCAGTAATCTCCGGAACTCTGAGTTTGAAGCTGCGCTTTAATTTCGACTTGACTATGAGCATTATTTCAAAAACCCCAAGTTTTATTTTTGAAACTCCTATCTTCCGCTATTTGAGGAGTCCGCTATACGTCTTGAGGCACCGCCCACGGAAATCGAGGATGATGAGACTTTGATGACATATGATAATGGACCCATATTCAAATCCCAAGTAACGTTCAAGGGAAAAAACGGACTACATAAACGGAAATAAGACTTGTAAAACGACTTTATTAGACTTCTTGGATTGACAGGAAATCCTGGTGGCAAAAATTCTCCTTTACTCGTTGATCATCAACATTTAACCAAAACCCATCAGCGAGCTTCAAAGCGTAAAAGGTTCAAAAAATTGAATGACCCAAACTTTTGGGTGCTCATAGAGATTATTTGACTTTGAAAGTTCACTTGACTTTGATTTAAAAAAACACTGCTGCTCAGCAAGTTAGCTCATATTTCAGGGTTACGGTGAGAGTGGATATGGGACTACATGGTTTTCCTGATTCTAACAGCTCTTGTATCTTTTTTGAAAAAGTTTATAAAAGCAAAAAGCTTTTTTTTGATTATAATCTAAAAAAACAGCAACTGAATAGTGCTTACCACAACCTTGTACGTGTGACGTGCGCTGCGTTATACCCTTGCAGAAAGGCGTCGGCAGAAAACACGAGAAAATGAAAACGAATATCGAGGACATGCTGTATTGAAAGATTTGTCTTGATGAGCTGAGCACAGCGCTTCTTTCGAATCTATAATACATTTATTCCAAAGGAAATTATGGTGCTACATACTTTGCGTACGAAGTGTCACGCGATTACCAAAATGTGACGTAATGTCGCGACTATTCCTAAATTTTTGCACGTTCTGTGAGCCTATTGCATGTTGTTGCTTAACAGTCAATGCAAACCTTTGAACTTTCGAGATTAGTTGTAGTTTTAGGCATGGGGGAACGGCGTGGTGGTATGAGAAGCTGCTATGTCCTGGTCGGGCTCAGCTTCAATCCGCCCTTGGGCCAATCGAGCCATATATTCTCTGAGACCGATAAATTGGTACCAGAGTAATCTGCTGGAAAAGCACTGACCTGGTAGTAGGTTGGTGCCCGCAAATCACTGTAAAGGCCCGCACGCATTCAGTAATCTCTTCGAGACTGTGAACTTGGGTGCATTTGGCGCATGCACAGGGTACTGAAAATGTTGAATCCTTCATCCTTTATTTTTTTTAGTGGTGTGTGGTGTGCGAATCAACGTGTGTACTTCGCAGGGTACTAATATGGTGGCAACTTTTCTGAGGCTTCATTACCAGCATAGGTCCCTGCGCCGGTATGCCTTGTTATGACGCATTGTCGCATGCGACGTATCCTAGCTCACAGTAGCTAGTCACTCCAGGCGCGACATCGCATGACCGATGCTGGTTGATGCAGCCCTATGGCTTTTGATTGCGATGATCCAGTATTGGCAAGAATGTCATCGAAATTTTTGCTCCTTACAACGGAAGGATGGTCAGTCGAAGTGGCCCTTTGCGATGATTTTTGAACCATGTTGGAGGGCATAAAACGAGGATTCCGAATCTGTCTTCCTTATCAAGGCGCGTTCCTGTACGAGAAGTCTTGAACGTTTATAGGAGAAAAAATGAATGTGCAAATAACATAAAAACACTAGTAACACCATTCGTAGCGCTTAAATGGACCAGTGGTAATTTTTCCAGCACTCTATAAAATGAATACTTTTAGGTGAGATATATTCACATTCCGTTTGTCTCATTTAAGCGCTGGGAGAATTTTAGCAACTGTTTCTATCCCGGAAAACACTTATTTTTTGCTCCTTTAAACGCTCATAACTCCTCCTCTAAGAATGCGCCGCAGATAAGGAAGACAAATTTGTGATTAGCGTTTTATGCCCTCCATTAAGGTATACAACCCATCTCAAAAGGCCACTTCGACCAACCATCCTTCCTTTGTTAGTCATTTGCATCGAAGAATTTTTCTATGAAATGGGCAACAAGAAACTTCATTTTTAAAATTACGCCGATATTTGGCTTGATTCAGCATTGAAATTATTATGCACCAGATCAGATAAAGAGGAGCCTTTATCCGAGAAAGCAGACTACAAGACTGAGAGATGCACGGCTGCCGCAGCCATATACGGCTAACTTGTTTACATAGACTGGTGGCATATCGTATCATAGCATTCAGCACATCATCCCTTTACAGAAATAGCTGTCAATTTTAGTCTACCCTGAACATCGACGCTGCTTTAGAAGTTCTCAGCAATAACATGATCTCATAGCACATACACATTGCTACCACAATTACAAGAATATCGAAATATTGGTTAGGATCTACTCAGATTAATGTGCTAATTTTAAGTTACACTTTCTTTGTTGGTGGCTGCGTATATTAGGTTGGAAAGTTTGTTTTGCAACTTTCTAACTTTCCTCTTGTTAAATACGACGCACTCAAATTTTAACAAAATTAGATTTTTACGCATGCTTTAAGCGCCGTTCCTGTTCTGCCAAATACTAGCGTTGCAGTGAGGGTAGATATATGGTATAAAGGGGAAAAATTTAAATCACAGGTTTGGCTGAAGCTTGTTTGGGGGGGGGGGGGGAGAGAGAGGAGGGCGTCGATTCACTGATTAAGAAAACATACGTATCTGCATGGTAACCTTGTATGATTAGTGTAGGTTTGCGATAGCGGATCTTGCCCTCAACAATAAAGAGGAAGTAAAAGTTTCAAATGAACTCATAATGGTGTTCAGCAGGCCGAATAACCTTATTATTTCAAATCTCAGGGAATACTGTAATTAGTTCCGACTTCTTGGTCATTAATGGTTGTCGTTAGCAGCCTTTCGTACAGCGCCTCCTTCAACTCGTGAGGACGCCAGATCTCGGCTAGTCGTTTGCATATGCTCCTTTTCTACTAAGCCACTTGAGCTAACTTCTGGCCACAAGTCATTCACGAATTCGGATCATCATAATCTGGATTGTAAACGACTTCATTTTTGCTTATAATCTAAAAAATCTCGATATTCTAGTTTTCGAAAAATGTTTGAAATTTTTCACTTCATCTTCAAAAATCAAACACTATGTGCATATTCGAAGTACACTTTGAGGTCAAGATATTGCCAAAATTTGTGTGCGTCACACTTGAAAAGAGGAACAGTTTGACAACGAGTCATTATTCGAAAATGTTTGATCTGAGATGCCTTGAAGTTTTGGTAAGTTCTACCTTATACTCCTGATTCTAAAATCAGCAATTCTTTTTAGATCATCTACGTACTACCTGAACTGATTGCTTGGGAGTATGGTGAGTCAAATTTTTCTTCGGGAGGATATTAGGTCAGTCTACGCATGTAAGTTGAAGAAAAGCACAATATTTTCAAAAATTTGTCGCATTTGGTCTCAGCATCAATGGAATAGAATTGCCCTAAGATTCGTGCAATAAGTCCGCCTATCAGATAAGTCCGCAAAGGAATTAACAGTCAAGTCCGCTTCCTTGACAACGAAAGTCGCCCTCGCGCCGCCAAGAGTCCTGGAGATAAGTCCGCTTTCTCATGCTCAGGATAGGCGAACTTTTCTGCTGCGGACTTATCTGATAGTGGATTTAGGAGGACTTATCTAGTAGACTTTTGGCGGCGCAGAGGACGTTTTTTCATCGATTTTTCGCGTCGAAACTGCAGATAAGTCCGGACTTATTGTATGGATGTTAGGGTAACTAAACAATGCTTTGGCTCTTTACTTGCATTAGCAATGAAAAACCGTGCGACCGAACTATGGCTTATTACCATAAGTCGACCACGATCACTCAATAACCATTCCTTGCTGTGCTCCTGCCTTTGGTAAATGTCGAAAGAAGCGATTCCTATAAATCAGAACTTATTGAGATCTGAGTTGATATGCAAACAAGCTGCAAGGATCTTATGAAAAAATTGAAATGGAAATAAGCGGCTATACCGTTCTCTAGCTTTTTGTTACGAGTTAGTGTGTGATATTCATTTTCGGCTCAACACGTTTCGTTTCAGCTTTTAACGCAAATTACCATCGTCAAAAGGATGTTGAGACTTCCGTGGTATAACAAGTTAATCATGGAACATTTATGCTAAGTGCCATGTTTTGCTCTTGGCCTACTCCTAGGAAAGCCGCCATTTGGCGTAATTCCCTTATCTTTCTATCAGGTGGCATACCCGACTTCAATCGCTACTCTTGTTATACCATGCCGGACCCCCCCCCCCCCTCCCCTGCCGAACAAAGCCAAGTCTACCCTGTCCTCAACGCCAGAAGCCCATAGGCGAACAACGACACATTCACTTACCATGTACCACTTTCAAGTCCTCAAAGTAAAAATCTTAGAAAGTTGTTGTAGATGATGCATGTTATTTGTATTTAGCACTTCAATTACCCCTCTTTGTAAGTCAAAGCTCACTCCACCCCTTAATGGTTGCGAAAAATCGGCAGAGCAGCGATAAATTTGGAGATGAATACTGTATATGTTAAAGCGATCTACCCTTTCATCTAACGATTGGATACTGGAAGGCGGAGCATTTAAGCTTAAGCAAGCTAGAGAATGATCAGTGAGCATGCTCACGAGCGAGATGCACACTGCATCGCGGGCGCGATCGGTCGCCTTCCAGCCGTCAATCCCTCTAAATTACAGGGTATCCGTATTAACTTATAGCCGTTAGCTCGAATTCTGCTGAAAAACGAGTTGTCCACGCGCGAGAACACCTCATGACTAACAGTTTACGAGAAATCTCCGCGGAGCGTTGTCACGCCGCGAATTGATCAGTCCAAGAGCCAACCTCGGTCAGCACTTCTGTGGCCGTATTCATCAACGAACCCAGTGGGTTCCGGAACCCATTGGGTCAGTGCTTTTGATAAATATCGATTCTACTCCAGGGTAGAATCGATATTCATCAAAAGCACTAATCAGTGGGTTTCGGAACCCACTAGGTTTGTTGATGAATACGGCCACTGGCGCAATATTACTTATTATTTCGAATCACGTAGCTGCCGCCGTCCCCCCCCCCTACTCCAGCATCGTGCAACTTTAGCATCCGAGTGCTTTTGAGGGTCGAAAATTCTGAGCGCGGCAGAGCGGCTGCCGTGCGCGGTGTGAATCTGACGTGTGCTTCCCCCCCCCCCCCCACCTTTCCCCTCCTAGCCAGCATCATGCTCCGAAACAACGAACCTTACCCTTTCTGGTTAAAGGTAACGTATACCCAAATTCTCAAATTCCATGTTTTCTGCCGCTTTCAGGGCTTCAGAAAGCTCTAATTTCGAATATGGAGTCAAAAATCCGCGGAATTCCACAATTCCCGTTCTAGGGAACTCGTTGCAACAAGCGCAGGTAAGGGAAAGCCTGCAAAGTGGGCGAAGCGATTAGTCGGGCGGACTAATCAACTATTTACCAAGTCGCGAAGTTCCGAGATTTCGCGAAATCGCGGAATTCCTGGAATTTCGCGACAATCGCGGAAATTTTGCACGTTATGTGGGTATTGTGATTGACAGCCGAGGAGCGAGATTTTCTAATTAGGGTGCGAGGGTAATCTCATATCACCGCGACTAGCGCTGATTGGCGAATGTTATGTAATTTATATGCAACTTTGTGAGCTCTTTTTTTCTATGATACGAGCGGGCTTTGAGCTCTTACATAAGCGGGAGTTTATAAGAAAGGCAATGTACATTTTTATGCATATCTTTGTGGAAAATGGGGACGAAGTGCCCGGATACCCGTATTTGTGTTTATACTCGAAGGGGCTATATCAGAAAATTTACAGAAGAATAGGAGGTTAAATACACACAAGAATACAAGAAGTCACTCAATCAAAAATCAAATTAAATCACACAATACAAGAAGCTGTTCTAAGAACGGTTCTGGACTTAGAAATTTTTTCCAGGAGAATGATGAAGGCGCTGGCATAGCAATGTTTCAGTACAACTTTTGATGCGCTATCAGCTTATGAAGAACAGCGTAAATGTGACGAAGCGCTACCCTATGGTATCTGAAGATTCTTGGTCTTAATTTGATCTTTGATCTCTACATATGAATCGGTCAGTAGTGGTTTATTGGTGTTTAGTGGTGGGTTAGCGGCCCGGGCACGGGTGGGTTGAAAGGGAAGGTGAGGCTAAAAGTGGGCGGAGCTCGCGGAGAATTCCTCCAAGATGTCGATTTTCGAGTTCTGGCTACCTCCAAAATATCGATTTTATCGATTTTGGGGAGTGCCACTTTGTATGGATATTGCAGGAGTACAATAAAAAATCATTTAGTTTTAATCTAAGGTCTTTATCTATGTTTTCGCGAACGGGTTTTTGTTAGGACGCAACCCAGTATAATGTAGACAGGGAGCTATGACAGATATCATTCGATACCGTCGGTCCGCGGCATAGGTGAAGGTGAGAATGGCCCCTCCAGGGTGAGGGGGGTAGCGGTCGCAGCCGCTCCGGGTGGAGGGTGTTTTCAGCTGGTCCCGAAATCATAAAATGTCGACCGGGGGGGGGGGAGGGGAGGAGTAGTGGACCCAATTTCTTCTTCATGCGAAAATTTGTTTGCTTGAATATAAGTTTATACCCCTTTATTTACTAAATTGGTTAAAGTTCTGTCCCACCACTTTCAAAAAAAAAATCGCAACCTTTCCTATCACCATATTTTTGCGTAATTTTAATTTTCTTGGAAAGTATAAACCATCCACTTTCCAATGGCACCTTGCCTACTCTCCAGTAAGCTTTCAATGCAGGAATAAAATTAAGAAAAAGAAATCATTACAACTTCGGGAATTTTGAGCCAAGTTCTTTAAAAATTCTAGAACTGCGCGAAAAAATCTAAAACAACCAGTAACCTAGGTTTCTTAATACTGAAGTAAGATTGGAACCACCCTGCCTGATCTGAAATTACCATAGAAGATGTGCATGCGAGAATATTTGTTTCGTTAAACAATTTCGAACTATTTACGAATTTTCTAAAAGAAGAAATTCGTAATTTCTGTAGATAAACAGCAACGTCAGCAAGGGAAATGTTTTTAAAACCATCCTGTCTTCCGCTTTTAGAGCATATATAGTTTGCTTGGAGTCTGTCGAAAAAAGTGCCTGGTGAAAGGAGTGGGTAGTGATTTCTAAATATTCTGAGTTTTTAGGATAAAAAAATCCGTAACATCTGAAGATAAACATCTTCTACTCCAAGATGGTTACCTTTGAAACCGCGTTCTCCGCTTTCACAAAATATCTAGCTTCCCTGGAGTCCATCGAAAAAAGTACCTGAGTGAAGGGTGTCCTAGTGATTTCTGGAAATTTTCGAGTTTTTAACATAAAAAAATTCATAACATTTGTAGATGAACATCTTCTACGCTGTCTTGGTCACCATTCGAACCGTCTCGTCCTCCGCTTTTGGAAAATATATACTTTGCCTGGGGTCCATTAGAGTGCCGGGTGAAGGGTGGGTGAGACATTTACAATGGGAGTTCTCAAGTAGAGGCTTTTTACCATTGTAAAAAGACGTCTACTTGAGAACTCCCATTGTAAAAGTCTCACCCACCCTTCACCCGGCAGTTTTTGTAATGAACCTTAGGCAATGTATATATTTTCTGAAAGCGGAGGATGAGACGGTTTCAACGGTTACCATCCCAGCGTACAAGAAGTTCATCTACAAAAGTTATGAATTTTTCAAGGTTAAAAACTCTAAAATTTCCAGAAATCACTAGGACACCCTTCACCCAGGTACTTTTTTGGACGGATCTCAAACATGCTATATATTTTCTAAAAGCGGAGGACACCATCTCGGCGTAAAAGATGGTCATCTTCAGAAGTTACGGATTTTTTTATCCCAAAAACTCGTAAATATCCAGAAATCACTAGGCACACCCTTCACCGCACTTTCTTGAATGGATCTCAGACATGCTGTATACTCTCTAAAAGCGGAGGACGAGGCGGTTTCAGTGGTATCCATATCGGCGTAAAAGATGTTCATGTAGAAAAGTTATGAATTTTTTTGTGTTAAAACTCGAAAATATCCAGAAATCACTACCCACACCCTTCACCAAGCATTTTTCTTAACAGACTCCAGGCACCTTGTTCAAAAGACTCCTCCTTTCCTATACATAGACAATTCACGTCTCCTTTGCTTAATTTCACCTCACTGTTGATTTTTTTTCTCGGCTTTTGGTGAAGGGGTCACCTTGGTTCCGGTTCAGGGGTGAAAGGGGGGTGAGCAAATTCTCAACTATCGCACCTATGGTCCGCGGGTTTTTTTAGTAGTTAAAAAAATGCAAAATGTCTCGTGAAGTGAAGGCGAAAATAGCCAGCAAACTTTGCTAG